TGAAGCTATTGCTCTTAGATTCATAATAAATAAAACAGATTTTGTTTTGTTGNCGGTATACAGACCTGGCTCAGCATTGGTTAGTGCTTTGTTTTTTGAAGAACTGGTAAATGTATTAGAAAATATTTCTGTTCTAAGTTCAAATGTTTTGCTAGCGGGTGATTTTAATGTTCATCTTGAAAGAGCTAATGATCAAAATACCATTCGTTTACTCGAAGTTTTTGAAATGTTTCAATTAACATATCATGTAAATAAACCGACTCATGTTCTTGGTGGTATACTCGATTTAATTGCCAGTTCTAGTGATTTCCAGGCTACAGATTGTAGAGTTTTACCAAGTGGTGTCTACTCTGATCATGGTTTGGTTTTGGTTCAAATACCAATAAAACAATTATGTAACAAGACAAAGATAAAATTAGTCAGATCTTGGAAGTATATGAATGGTGATGACTTAGCAACGCTTGTGGAAAAATCTCCTTTATCTAAACTGTGTCAAAGCGACAACATTGATTGTGAATTTAATATTTTTAATGATGAATTGACGAAGATAGTTAATATAATCGCACCACTTCGTTATGTTAAAATTAGGTGTGATCTAATCTGTCCTTGGTTTGAAAGGAATGTTACATTGCAAGAGCAGATTGTCGAAGAAAAGAAAGAAAATATAGAAACTGTTTGCTGCCTGAGCGTCGGGTGATTGGGTCACAGCTTTGAAGCATAAAACTAAGCTTTTTTCAAAAAAACGAAATTCTTATTGGAAAAAATTAATCGATGATAATAAAAATCTATAAAAATCTATGTCCTAAAAATAGAAAAAAAATATAAATAAAATAAAAATCTATAAAAATCTATGTCCTAAAAATCTATGGAGCATTGTCAACAGAGTATTATGCAATAACAATTCGATTTCAATTCAAGAATTCAAGAAGCGCCAGATTATAGCTCTGATCAATTTTTAAATTTTTTTCAAGAGAAAATTGATAGAGTTAGACAAGCTACGAACGTTGCAAATCGACCAGCTTTTGATGAAAGTAAATTAAACAGTGATGAATTGTTTTCATTTTTTCCACCTGTAACTGAAACGGAATTAAAAAAGATTATATTTAATTTACCATCAAAGACGTGTCTATTGGATTTGATTCCTACTTATGTTCTTAAGAAGTATTTAGATTTATTTATTACTTTTTTGACAAGTTTTGTCAATTTAAGCTTGACAACTAGTGCGTTTCCTGCTCGTTGTAAGCATGCAATTGTTCTCCCAATTTTGAAAAAAAATAATGCAGATAGGAGTAATCTAAGGAATTACCGACCAGTTTCAAACTTGTGTTTTGTGTCGAAAGTCATCGAACGCGTCGTTGCAAAAAGTTTGTTAAAACACTTAGATAAATATAAATTGATTCCTCTCTACCAGTCTGGATATAGACGTTACCATTCTACGGAAACTGCTTTGTTATATGTTTTATCAGAAATGTATGCTGCTATTGATGAGCAAAATGTTTCTCTGTTGACGTTTTTGGATATGTCTGCGGCTTTTGATTGTGTAGATCATGGTATTCTGTTGGACCTATTTTGTTCTTATTATATACAGCTGATCTTTATGGAGTTATCGAGTCATTTGGTTTTAAATACCATGCTTTCGCAGATGACATTCAGATAATTTTAAGTAGTAAACCTGATACCTTCCATTTTGAAATTAACAAGCTTACCGAATGTTTGAATAAATTGGATGTTTGGATGTCGTGTAATTATCTGAAATTGAATTAGTGCAAGTCCCAGTTTCTTCCTATAGGCACCTGGCAGCAGTTATCAAGGGTTGGTATTGTTATAACCGACCCTTTTAACTTGTAGGGTATGGTTATTTCTCTTTACGCGGATTCTTAATTCCTAAACAGACTTATTTTAGATGACTTTATTAGAAAGAAAACAGAGCTGGCAATTGCCGTAATCGATCACTCGTTCGTTCGATCGTTAAAATCGTTAGAATACAAAACAATAACTAATCAACAGTTAAATCACAGGATAAAACTAATCGTCAATAATTAAGCTCTTCTTAAGCTCTTTCTTGACCGTAAATCCTAAGTATCCACTTCTCGGAAGATTATCGTAATTCACTCGCAGACCGCGTGTAGAATTCTTCGCGACAAACTTCTCCTTGGGCGTTATCGCTAATTTGTTTGCAGTGCGCACACAAAATATCTCTGCGATAATAGGACTGCCTGAAACTTCTGACTTCTTCGTAATTCTCGTCGCTCCTTGTTATTTCCTGCACTTCTCTCTCTATTTTCTCTCCTCTCTTCTATTCTCTCCCTCTCTCTTTTTTTATCGTTCTTGTTGTCGGTCTATTTATACCTCGCTTTCTTTTACAATCATCGACATTTTACAATACGGTTTTTATTGGCTCTGCCTCTTAATTAAATTATCAAGCGCTTCACTTTAATTTATAATTACCAATTCTTATATCGCCTTCACGTCTGTAACAGTATTAATTCAGTTATAATACAAAATGAAAATGTTCAGTTTTGCCATAGGGCTACAAATTTGGGGTGTATTTTTGACACCAAACTAACTATGAATGATCACATAAAAACAATTGTGAAGACATGTTCATTCCAACTGCAAAGATTGAATCGAGTTAAAAAAATCATTGAACAAATTAACATTACAGTCATTAATGCACGCGTTCGTCCATTCACGTTTGGACTATTGCAATAGCTTGTTTTATGGTTTACCGAACAGATCGATTGTGATGCTTCAGTCCATCCAGGATAGAGCTGCTAAAATTGTTGCAGGTGGTGCTAAATTTTATCGCGTTACGCCAATTTTGAGGAACCTACATTGGCTAACTGTCAATAAAAGGATAATATATAAAATCTGTATGGTAATGTACAAGGTTTTAAATGGATTTACGCCAGAATATTTGACATGCAAGTTCAATAAGAAGAGATCAAATTTGCGTATTGGCGCAAGTCTAAGATCTGATGATGATAATTTGATGGTTGTGCCTGTTTTTCGTTTGCAGATAGGAACAAGAAATATTGCAGTGTCGGGGGCGGTTGTATGGAATGGTTTGCCACGGTCGTTGAGGGTGTGCAATTCAGGAATTGAAAACTTTAGGAAGAATTTGAAGATTCATTTATTTAATCAATAACTGTGAACTGATTTATTTGTGGTTTATTTTATCTACTTTTTCAGCTATTTCTGTTAATTATAGGATAGCGCTTTTGAAAAATTAACACTATTGTTTTTAATAAACGCTTCATAAATTTTAATGATAATAATAATAATAATAATACTCCTACACATACATACATACACACACACAACACATTCGACTGACAGTCTGGCCTGAAGATAAGTACATAGTTGAATACTCACTGGAGTATGGATTCTTGAGACTGACACCGAACACCAGGCAGCAGCTGAACATCTCCGTGAAGCTTGTTGTATTAGGTTAGCCGACTGGCTAGTTTTGTGTTATTCTAACTTGTATGCAGTTATGGGCACACACGCCAATTTAAACATACTGAAACTTAGATGCACATATCTAAACACGCTCCTACACACAGATATTACCCACACCTAATCACACAAACAGATCCTATGAAAGACGAATGTTTTGGTGACCAGCTGAGCAGATTCCTATTGGATGAATTTCTTGGATATGACGACGTTCTCATGTCCAGTGTCAAACAACTTGCGGAGGATGAAACTAATAAAGGTCAGTCAGTTCGTGGTGATGATGCTGAATGGTGATGACGAGGTGATGTTGGTGACGACGATAAAAAAAGCCCATTTATGCATCTATGCATCTCTACAGTACGATGTCTGACTGTGATAATTGGAATAATGATAATAACAATGACAATTATTACACTGACGATGCAAACATACACACGATTGGGCACACACTCAAACACACATACACCCAAGTAACACACACACACACACGCGCGCGCACACAGGTTATCTGCGTAATGTTGTGAACGGTGAACACTACAGATTCGTGAGTATCTGGATGGCTAAGAGCTCGTACCTTGCTGCTGCCTTCATTATGGTAGTCTTTGTAAGTGATGATGATGGTGAAGCGATGATGATGTGACGATGGTGATGTGACGATGGTGATGTTAGTTGACATTTTACTGATGAAGTTGGCATTTACATTGACGGCTATAACGTTGGAGTATCAGATTTAATGAACATTTTTTATGAAATAATTAATTTATTATCGTTTTAATCTCTAACATTTTTGTCATTAAGCGGTCATCATCTTCATCGTTATCTTCATAATCAGTTGATATCATTAACCTCATATATATATATATATATATATTAGAGTGGTTACAACGCTAAATGTAAAAAAAAAATTTCGAAATCTTATCGGGAGAACCCCCTAAATTGTGCCACTTGACTAAAAAATGACATTTGGATAATGCTAACCCGTGCCTCATCGAGGTTGAAATTTCGAAAAATTGGAAAATTTTGAAAAAAAAGCAGTTTTTGGTTTGTAAAATAAAAACGGTTCACTCTAGAAACATGATTTAAATTTTATTTTGTTCATTGATTAGTTTTCTTCAAATGTTACTATGATCACTATTTAGCTACAAGTTATAGTTTCTGACATATTTGCATTGTTACAGATACACATTGAATAAACGTTGAATTTCTCCATAACACAAAAACACACAATAACTTAATTTGTTTATAAAGAAATGTTTTTAAAATAACACGGTTGTATCTAAATCACTATTATTAACAAATAAACACATTTTTAATTCATATTATATTGTTTATAGTTGTTATACATCAAATAAATTTCTACTTTAACTCATTGTTCAAAAGGTAGAGGCTCGGATAAGGAGGCTTTTGAGCAACCAGGAAATTTTGTCCGACATTCAACAATTACTTGCAAAAGATATTGTTTTTGATCTTCCTCTTTTGCAATATATGAGTTGTAATCTGTTATTAATTTAACACCCCTTTCTGCTGTATCATTTGTAACTTTTAATCCGTCCACAATCTTTTTAATCTTTAAATATTTTTCGTTATTACTCCATAATTCTGGATTGGTATGCAAAAATTGATCATTAATATTAGATCTTTTTAAAAAATTACTTGATTGTGATGAAATAAAATAGTCCGCATTTTTGTCCAATATTTCTGATATTTCATTTATTTTTATTAGTGGTTTCATATCACAGTAGTCATCAAGTTCTTCATCCTCATTTGCTTGAGATATTAATTTCGTTGTCACTCTCTTTTTTACACAATTACTTAATGAATCATCGAATAATGAAAAAACAGCCTGCTCTGGATTAAGGTACTATATGTGGTTGATAAATTTTGAAACTGATATATCTGAGATAAATTTATTGACTTTATTGTAATTTACCAAAGATTTTAACAATTGTAATTCTTGGTTTGGAGCAAGTGCAGGTTTCGGGGCATCCAACCACACTTTCACATAATTATTTATAATAAATAGGCAAATATCATGGAATCCTTGCTTTTCAAAAATTATCAGTTGAAACTGTTCGCTGAAAAGGTATATTTTCAACGAATATATCGCTTTTGCCATCCACCTTGCGTGATGAAAATACCAGGAGCCGCAAACACGATGTTTTCTGACGGAAAGCGTTCTAAAAATATAAGACAAAGATTAATCAATTCTTTGTAATCGCTCCTTGGATGATGAACTGTTAATTGTTCTAGAAGATAACTTGAAATTTGACCCGGATTAATCTATTTGCTGGCTACACTTTTATCTTTAACTCCTGATTTACATTTTTTTATCAATGTTGTTCCATTCAGTTTTAAATTTTTTGAAAATATCCGATTGAGGGCCTGTAGTCTTTCCCATCACGGCATCAAAAACGGATCTAAAAACTACCTCCAAAATGTGGTGGCGACATGGAAGATACAATAATTTTTTCTCCATCAATTGCTCTAATAAAACGCCAGCACCTTTAATGCGGCCAGTATTCACGGCAGTTGTGTCAAAGGACATTGCTTGAATCTTGTCTAGTGCACTCCACTTTCCAAGTTCTGAATAAACAGATTTTGCAATTGTACTGCCATCACTATTTTCTAATTGGGGAACTCCAATTAACTGTTCTTCTACTCCACAGCTAATTAAGACTGCAACTCTTTCAACATTTTCTTTATTTAACATATCTGGAAGTAATTTCCCATAAAATGTACAACTGCTTCTTACCAAAAATGAAAAATCGTAGAAAAACCAAAAGATCTTAATATTAATAGATAAAAACAACATATAGCACCCGGGTTAGTAATAGTAAATAAGTTATTGTGTGTTTTTGTGTTATGGAGAAATTCAACGTTTTTTCAATGTGTATCTGTAACAATGCAAATATGTCAGAAACTATAACTAGTAGCTAAATAGTGATCATAGTAACATTTGAAAAAAACTAATCAATGAACAAAATAAAATTTAAATCATGTTTCTAGAGTGAACCGTTTTTATTTTACAAACCAAAAACTGCGTTTTTTTTCAAAATTTTCGAAATTTCAACCTCGATGAGGCACGGGTTAGCATTATTTGAGCTAAATTGAGCTAATTGAGCTCAATTAGCTCAATTGAGCTAAAACTTTACAAATGTCATTTTTTAGTCAAGTGGCACAATTTAGGGGGTTCCCCCGATAAAATTTTGAAAAAAAATTTCTTGTGACCACCCTAATATATATATATATATATATACCAATACCTTTGTTTGCCAGTCATTTTCTTCTTTCTTATTATGGTCTTTGTTATTTCCATCATAATAATTACCCTCCTTATCATCATCATCATTATTACTGGGCGGCGTGATGGCTGAATGGTTAAAGGCGCCTGGTGTTGCTGCTGCAGTGACTGGGTTCGAATGCAAAGAGATCTTCGCTTATCATATGCAATGTGTATGATGCGTGGTTTGCACGCGTATTCATGTACGCTGTGTGTGTTTGTCGTTGAAACATCTGAAGCAAGCGCAAAAGAGAGAGAGAGTAACCTTTAACCTTTATCCATCTTCACTAACAGACCCTGGCTGTATCAATGCTGTTGAGATACTCGCATCATCAGATATTCGTTTTCATCGGTGAGTCAGTTTCGTTTGTGTTGCTATTCATGATGTAATTGTCTGTGGTGATGTTATCACTTTACATGTAATATATATAAGATATATGGGAGATATATGTAAGGTTTATATAAGATATATGTGAGATATATGTAAGGTTTATATAAGGTATATGTGAGATATATGTAAGGTTTATATAAGATGTATGTGAGATATATGTAAGGTTTATATAAGATATATGTGAGATATATGTAAGGTTTATATAAGATATATGTGTATATGTGAGATATATGTAAGGTTTATATAAGATATATGTGATATATATGTAAGGTTTATATAAGATATATGTAGGATATATAACTTAAAAAACAAAAAAAAGCTTGCACTACTTAAACACCATGTGCTGTATAACTTGCCATTTCAATATCACATAAAACTTGTTGCTTGGTAACATGATATTTAAATGGCATGGCATGTAACACAAAATGACACGTAACGTAACAGTTGACCTGTTGCAAATGCTGGAGATGAACAGATCACTGGCCTTCCCCGCAGCACCGCTACTCACCGTCATACTGGCTCTCGTTGGTTTGTCATCGTTTTTTGCTGTCACTGTTTTGTTGGTGATGATGTGATGATGTCATCTGTTGTGTTGATGCTTTGTTTTTAGATGGTGTTTTGGTGGTTTATGATGCTCTTAATGATGATGTTCTTGCTGTGGTGGGTTTTACTTACTGGCACGGCGTGTTTCAAGTCTTTCCATGGTGGAATAACGAACTAAGCTAACGAACTAACCTAGCCTAATGATACTTATCTATCCATAATGAAAATGGTATCAACTTTCTAGATTGTTTTGTACCGGCAGCTTCTGAATATATTCTGATAGTAAATGTCATAGCGAGCAATAAATGTTTACAATCTTTCTTGTTGTTCTTATCTTATATCATTTGTTTAACTGTTATAGATTAGTTTTTATTCTCTCCTGATTAGAAAGAAGCTTTTCTGACTCTGTATTATTTTAAAACGATGTAATTTCGTACCTATGATATGGTGTGAGATGCTTCTGCCAAGAATAATGAGAAATAACGTACGATGGCTATATTTTGGTTAAAGCTAAACCTTTTTAAACTAGACTCAATCTTATTTATTTGATTTATTCATGCTTTAAAGCTTAATGTGAAATTGTGTCTGATAAGATAATATTTAAATATTTTTAGAAATTAGAAATTGCGTTGGAAAACAAAATTAAACATTGTATGCATATTATAATTGAAGAATTATTAAATTACAAACCAAATTTATAAAAAATTAAATTAGTTAATCTTGAACAGAAAGATTTGTGAATGGCAGGTTATAGTAAACATAAACTAAATGAATCAAAATTTCATTTAACAACAAAATTTCATGAGAAATAAATGTCACAGGACTGATTGATCGAATAAATGAATAATTGATTGATTGATTAATTGATTGATTGATTGGTTGTTCAGTTGGTTGATTGATTGGTTGTTCAGTTGGTTGGTTGATTGATTGGTTGATTGATTGATTGATTGATTGATTGATTGATTGATTGATTGATTGATTGATTGATTGATTGATTGATTGATTGGTTGATTGATTGATTGGTTAAAGGTATGGAGGCCATCATGTCTGAGTTCTTCAGCGACACGACAACAGCTTTTTACATAATCCTCATTGTATGGATAGCTGATCAGTATGACGCCATCTGCTGTCATACTGCAGTCACTAAGAAGCATTGGCTAAGGTCTGCTTTGTTGTTTTGTGTTCGTTGTTGCTGTGTTTATGACGGGTCGTGTTTCTGTGGGCATTTTCCTTATGCCGCTGCCGTTGGTTATTAAATTAGATGTCACATCAGGGCTGTGACAAGAAATAATTTATTTCCAATGCAAGACAAAGACCGAGATATTGCGAGTGCAAGACAAGAGACGTCTGACAAACAAGCCTCGAGACATCCAAGGAAAAGACAGAGGTAAAAACCAGAACGAGACCAGCATGAGATCGAGACAAGTGACAACAATAGACTGCAATCACTGAACATTCAAAATTTTGGCAGTTGATTTTATTGACAAAACATAAGACCGCCATAGTTAAGAATTGAATTTTAAATTATAAACTTTTATCGTTCATTTACAGAAGTGTAAGTAAACATTTTTTTTATAATCATGACGACAACCAGCAATGACGAAAAGTAAAAGTAGAACCAACATAGTTATTGCAATATTTAAAAAATATTAATTGTTCAGATGATTGGTTAAAGATGCCTTTCGTGGGATTAGTATATATTTGGCCTGAAGAAATATTTTTTTACTATGGAGCTGGCACATTTATAAGACAATTAAAAAATCGGCCAGAGCAGTTTGTTCTCCCCATTTTTAAGAGATCTCTTTGATTCCTCACTACATTGTTCATCATAACTGACTGCACATATATAATCTTGGCTTAGTTCTTTTGTTGCCTTACTTTTGGCTGTCCACTGTTGTTCATCAATCAGAATTAGGAGAAACCACATTTTCGTTGAATTTTGCTAAATTTTTCAGCACCTTCTCTTTTTTGACGTCCATCACAACCATACTATGCTGCAGCATATCAGGTATCGCCTTCACATTCTTTACATACTTCCTATGTTTGGCCCTTACCAATATATAGTCTATCATCGACTTATGCTCCCCTGACCTATATGTAATCAATCGCGCTGGTTCCCTTGTAAACCAGATGTGACATCAAAAGAAATGGGGAGGAGGAAGAAGGATAAGTTTGTGGCAAAGAGAAAGACATGGAAGTTGCAGGATGCAGAGGTGAGGAAGGCATTTGAAGTGAAGGTGGCTGAAAATTGGGAGAGTGGTGAGAATGGAGATGTTTTGGAGAGATACAGGGACTGTGTGTTGGCTACGGCAGATAAAGTATGTGGATGGACGAAAGGAAAGTGTAGGCATGGTGAGACGTGGTGGTTGGATGAAGATATAAGAAGGGTTTTGGAGGTCAAAAAGGAGAGGTTTAGGGTATGGAGAAGGGACATGACGGAGGAAGCGGAGTTTGAGTATAGGAAGGCTAAGAAGGTTGCAAAACAGGCAGTGACAACTGCAATGACGAAAGCTTCAGATAGGTTAATGAAGGAAATGGAATTTGATGTGAGTTCAAGGAAAATGTTCAAAGTAGCAAAGCAGTCAATGAGGGATAGGAAAGATGTTATAGGGAATGGATGTGTTTGGGATGGATCTGGCAAGTTGTGCATAGATGAGGAGGAAAAAGCTCAGGTGTGGAAAGCTCATATGAAAAGGTTGATGAATGAAGAGAATGCGTGGGATGGAGATGTGGAATCCGCGGTCACACACGGACCTATAGAGAAGGTGACGATGGAGGAAGTAGAGAAAGCAGTTAGAGAAATGAAACTAGGTAAAGCGACAGGGGTTTCGGAAGTGGCGGCAGAACATATAAAAGCGAGTGGGGTGATAGGAATTGAAGTTATGATCAGAATTGCTAACAGTATGTTTGATGATGAAGGTATACCTGAGGATTGGCGACACAGTGTGTTGGTGCCGTTGTATAAGGGCAAAGGAGATGTGAGAGATTGTGGGTCATATAGGGGTGTGAAATTGCTAGAGCACTGAATGAAGGTAGTGGAGAGGGTGCTTGAGAGGAGGTTGAGAAATATGGTGACAGTTAATGAAATGCAGTGTGGGTTTATGCCTGGTAGGGGAACGGTGGATGCGTTGTTCATGGTGAGAATGTTGCAGGAGAATTATAGAAAGAAGAAACGAAGATTGTACATGTGTTTTGTGGATCTAGAAAAGGCTTTTGATCGAGTACCGAGGAAGGTCATTGAATGGGCGTTGAGGAAGAAAGGAGTGAATGAGAGACTTGTTAAAGCTGTGATGCAGCTGTATGAAGGGGCAAAGACAATGGTGAGGGTTGGAAGGGGGATGTCGGACGTTTTTAGTTTAAGGTAGGAGTGCATCAAGGATCAGTGTTATCACCGTTTCTGTTTGCAATTGTGATGGATGTTGTGTGTGGAAACATAATGGAGGGTTATTATTTGAGATTTTGTATGCAGATGATTTAGTCTTGATGGCTGATAGCATGGAAGAATTGCAGTTAAAATTTGACAGATGGAAAAGTGTTATTGAAAAGAAAGGGTTAAAAGTTAATATTGGTAAGACGAAGGTAATGGTGAGTGGGGAAGGTGGGGAGCGAGTGATAAGTAAAATAGACCCCTGTGGGGTATGTGACAGGAGAGTGAAGGCTAACTCTGTATTGTGTATAGGATGTCAGAAATGGGTGCATAAGAGATGTAGTGGTATGAGGGGGGCACTGAAAAAGGTGGAAGGCACGTTCAAATGTAAGAAATGTGTTCATGGTGTGATTAATAGGACGGACGCAAGGACGGGGTTGAGTGGTGGTATTGAAAGAGTGGAAAGCTTTGTTTACTTAGGGGATAAGCTGAACGCGGATGGAGGATGTTTAAGCGCAGTTACGGCTAGAATTCGTGTAGGATGGATGAAATTTAGGGAACTGGGTGGGGTATTGTGTGGAAAGAAATGGTCAGTAAAGATGAAAGGGAGGGTATATAAAGCATGTGTGAGAGCAGCGATGGTATATGGTGGTGAAACTTGGGTGTTGAGGAGAGAGGAGGAAAGTGTACTGCAGAGGGCTGAAAGAGCTATGGTGAGGATGATGTGTGGGGTTAAAGTGAAGGATAGGAGGAGTAGTACAGAGCTGATGTCAATGATGGGACTGAATGAGGACATTGTGAAATTGATAAGGAGATCGAGATTGCGATGGTATGGACATGTGTTGAGAAGGGATGAAAGGGTCGGGATTAGGCGAGCGTTGGAGTTCGAGGTTGAAGGAGTGGTAGGAAGGGGTCGTCCGCGATTGAGATGGAAAGAGCAGATGAAGAAGGACAGGGTGAAAGCGGGGTTGCGTGATACTGAGGCGAGTGACAGATGTGGATGGCGTCGAGGGGTATTTCGGTTTCATCATAGGTAGCCAAACGGCAACCCCCGATCTCGGGGAAAATGTCGTCTAAACGTGTGTTGTTGTTTGTTGTTGTGATATAACAGAGTATCCAAAGTTTATGTTTTTACTATCTGAATGAATTATTATAAAAACGTCACTAACCCGATAAATTATATTAATAAATAAATAAATTAATGTCGAGACGTCGTAGCCCTGGTGCTCACTCTGTTGTTTCTTGTGTTTTTTTGTTGTTTTGCTGGGTGGTTTGTTGTTTGTTACAATATTGTGTCGTTTTGAATGGTTCGGTTTTGTTCACTTCCTTATTAAAAATTATCTGCCTCGCCACCAATAATGTCTCCGTCTTTTACATCATGATGTCTTCATTAGATTTTTCTTCCTCTACCATTTTGCGTTCTATGCGTACCATTATCGTTTCAATGGTCTGTACAGTGGCTTGGCTCTCCTGACGTCATGGCTCTTCATACAGGTTGTTGTTGTTGTTTCTTGCTTGTTTGTTGTTGTTTTTTGTTTTTATATTGCAGTTGAGATTGATGTTGTTTTTGTTGTTGTTGTTGTTGTTACTATAGTTGTTTATATTGTTACTGGTATTATTTGGGATGTGAAATGTTGGTGTTTGAATCATCATCTTCATTTCATTAAAACATCAACAGCATAAGCATTCTCATCAAAACAATTTATAAGCACAATAACAACTAAAAAAACATGACCTCACCAACATCTGCAACTGTTATGTACTGTGTAACCGGAGGTCATCGTACGAGCACGGAGTTCAATTTGTTGGTCTGGTGACACGCAGGCTCACGGTTCTTGGCATTTGCTGTTGTGGACCTGTTTTTGTCAGCAGATGCCAATACTTGCACTGTCTCTAACGCGACAACCGTTGACTGAGAATTTATCTCTTTCGTGCATATGTCATTAAGTAATTTACCATACTTTGTCGCTTGGAAGGCGATTTATACATTCAAGTTTTTTAAAGAAGACCTGTTTAGGATTTCAGGAATCAAATATGCTCCTGACTTGCCCAGTCTAACGAAACCAAGCTTTATGTAAGCAGGTTCCGATGTCCGTTGTGACCTATCTCCACAAGTGCTGTGTTGCTACTTTGTCTTCCCAGTTCATTCCCTAAATGTTTTGGCAACATTTCACGTGTACTGCAACGTTTACAACCATTGTTATTCTGCACTTGCTCCAGAAGTAGCCATCGAATTCAGCAGATGCATGGATGTAGCTTCGTTATTGAGGGTGGAGGTGGTGGACTTGTAGCTATCAAAGTGTTTGATTTCTAATAGGAAACCTGTCTCCTTCAGACCACTGACTGCTAAAATGCGACTTTCCATTGCGAGTTTGAAACATGGCACACTGTCGCATGAATTACAGTTAATCATATTCTTGAAAACGTTTTCATCGGTTCTCTAGCAAACTGGTGTACCATCGTCACAGCGTTGAAAAGCAACCTGGAGCTTTATTGGAGAGTTGATGCTAAACAATAAGGGAACCAGGGCAAACTCTGGTTTCTTACGTTTGAAACTGAAATTTGGGAAGCCGTCACCAATTTTATCTGTCTCCATATCCTCGTAGAAGGAAGAGTTGTGGAAACGAGACAGTCCTGGAGAGTCGATCAGACTACATAGGATTTGTGAAGGATCGACTGAAACTGAAAAAAAGATTGCAAATACACATTACACATTAAAAACACACAACTGCAAACACTGACAGACCAACGCTGACGTGCAACATCAACTTATTAATAACAGCATTCCATGATCTACTTCTTCCACCATTATGAACTGCCAATCATCTTGCAACAAATTCAACAACAACAAGCCCAACAGCAACAGGACATGAGACAACATCAGCAACAACAACCTGCAACTGCAACAGCGTCAACCTCACAAGTCAACAACAACACTCAGCAAGGTAGCAATGTCAATGTTCTTTTCGCAACTAGCAGATCGTTATCGGCACCAACATTCTTGAGGATTGGAGCTCAACCAAATCAACAAGATCTCAACAACAACAACAACAACATGGAATTGTTGAATACTGTTCTCGCAACGGCAACATCGATGTTGTCTTCCGCATCCATAGTGGAAGTGGACAACAACAATCAACAAACACTGCGACCACAAGTTGCTGAACGGCTAAATCAGTCGGTGGAGAGGATTGTTGAGATGATCAGGTTGAGGTTTGCGGGACAGGCTCCTCAACTGAATCTACCGCAACAAGTACTCTTGCAACAACATCCTCAGCAACCACATTCTGAGCAACATCAAGAACAACAAAACATTCAAACTCCACAACAACAACAACAAAACATTCAAACACCACCACAACAACAATACTCTCAACCATCTCAAGATCTGCAAGAATCATCGGCACAACAGCACCAGCCACAAAATGTTGATCAACTTTTACAAAAACAACTGCATTCAGACCAACAGCAACCATTAGAACAGCAGCAAAATCCTGAAGACGATGAAGGATGCGGCGCGTCACTGCATCAACATTCGAACCAAAACAATCTCTATGAGGTTGACAATGTTGCTGTTGATGTTGTCAACAAACAAACCGACAACAAACCGTCATCATCCACATCATCACCACCATGCATAACATCTCTCTCAACAAAGAAGGATGACGGTGGTGATGGTGATGACGATGTTGATCAAAAGATTAAAAGTGACGACGACGATGATGATGGTGGTGGTGATAGTGAAAAAGCGAATCATCAGCAGTAGCAGCATTTTTAATGATAAACCGTTCGTTTCTAGAAACAAATAAAATTTTCCAACTATTAATTATTCTTCGTCATCAATAATGATATGAGTATACTGACACAACGTACATTACACTCGCACATACATTACTTTAAATATATATATATATATATATATATATGTGTGTGTGTGTGTGTGTGTGTGTGCGTGCGTGTGTGTGTGTGCGTGCGTGTGTGTGTGTGTAATAAATAATTCTAATTGAATGTGTATGCGTATTTTAATATATGTTTTTTAATGTAGATATGAATGACGATGTGGATGTTTTATGAACTTGATTGCTCGGTGTGCTATTAACGAAGGTTTAATTCTTTTGTTTATTCATTTATTTATTTGTTAATTCATTTATTAATTCATTCATTCATTTATTAACTAATTCATTTATTTATTTTCTTATTAATTCATTTATTTATTTTTTATTGTCATTATATTATTATTTTTTACTGAATTTAAACAGCTGTGTGTGTGTTTTATGTGCGTGTGTGTGTGTGTGTGTGTGTGTGTGGTGTAAGTGGTGCACGTGTGTTTTTCAGTCAGTGATTGTATTAATTAGTAAATAACAAAAATAATAATAATGATGATGATGATGAAAAATAATGATAATAATTAAAAAAATAATAATAACTAATATTGGCTTCTGTCGTAATCATTGTGGTCAACTGATCACATTTAACAGTAGTTAATGTAATTATTGTAGTGATTATTTGATCAATTTTGAGTAATGGCGAGATGTCGGCACGTCTTTTTAAGGCTCCCGTCGGGAACTCAAATGTCATACATTACGTGCTTCGCCCCATGGATCTGTTACGTCGCTTAACTGATCCATTAATTAATACTTGTGTTTACATTGTATATTTTCTATAAGTGTGTAACATAATTGCTTGACGTGTTTTTATATGAATGAGCAACCAGACATACGCAGTGCAAATGCATTGCAATTTTGTGTATATAAATACGAATTTTAAATGTAATTGTAATTTTTTTTATATAGAGTTAAATTTTTATGTAGTTTTGGAAATATTTTTCACCTATTTGTATGAATTAACTTTTTGTTCACCATGTTTGGATTAATTGTCTGGAGGAATAAATTTTTATTTAAACTTTATTGAATCATTTTTGGTTTTTAATTTAATTGCACAGTTTCGAAAACCCGTGAGTTGTTTGCGTATCGTAGCTTACCTACTGGTGTGGCTACAAGTTCTATTGGTCCCCGTGCATCTGGTGTCCGGTCAAAACATACTGGACAAAATATATTGATACAATTTGGCTGACCGATACAGTTGAATTATTTCCATTTGTCTGGAGCAGCCGGTTGTCCTGCGACAGTTTGCTCAAAATTATCTTTTTACAGTAAGTCAGTGATCTTCAAGACCGCAGGAATCCGAACGAATTCAGGATTTTCTCCTTCGTTAAATAAATCTGAGGAATAATTGAAGATGTACCCATTTCGAATCAGCTGTTACCTTTTGAGTTTACTTTTTTGATTCGTGGTAAAACGCACTGCCACAGGAAAAATAGCTAGCCAAATTAATGAGACACAGCAGGGGAAAAACGCAGTTAACCCAAATGACCAGGCATATAAGTTCAATGTGCCTGCACAGTATTCTGGCTTTTATGGAATTACTTTTATAGAACAAACACATCATCGTCCAAGTTTTCATTACATTTTATTGTAGTTTTTTCTTTATGTCAAACATAACAATACACAAGTATATTTAACATGTATGTATGTATATGTGTATATATATATATATATATATATATATATATATATATATATATATATATAATATTTTTTATTTTGATTAATAAATTTGAAAGTTTTGCAAAGTGTTTGTAATGTGTATATGTAATATGTATAGTGCTAACTTATGACAGAGTATGCGCGTGTGACCTGCTAAAATATGTTTCAATTAAGCGTTAGTGTATTTTTTGTTTGTTTGTTTGTATGCATGAATGTTTGTGTATGTATGTGTATGTATATACGTATGTATGTGTATGTATGTACGTATATATGTGTCTGTAGGTCTAAAGGTGTTGTCTGTGTCTTTTACGCTACTAAACAAAAACGCAATATTTAGCTGAGCCGACAAAGAAAGCGGTTATTAATGACGATAGTGGTAGAAAAATACTTAAAAGAAAAAAATATAAATTTATTTACACTATATATATTATATATATATATATATATATATATATACACACAAAGTATTATATATGTATAGTATTGGGAAAAACCATTTATATATTATATATATGACGTCTTTTTAATATTATAATTATCTAGAATACCCGTACAAAGTGAATAAAATAAATAAATGAACGAATGTTTAAAATTAAAATATTTAAACTTCACGGTAAAATTAAGTAAAATAAGAAAATAATGTAATTTTATGCAAACGTTAAAAGGGAACCAAAATAGAGTAAAACCGGAAACCGAGGAATAAGAAAAGTTAATTATCATTATCGTTAGATGTGCCTCATGTAGGTATGTACAAGAACTACACAACTATAATAGGAACTGTCCGTTGATGCTGATAATGACGACGATTAGGATGGTGGCGGCGAAATGACGACAACGTCTATGAAGACGGATGAGGTGATAAGTTCATGACATTGTGGATGAGGACGATGGCGACGATTGGAAGAAAGGACAATGGTGATAACATTGATGATGGGGATGAGAAGATGAGATGATAATGACGTCACTAGTGAATTAATTGTCGGTTGGATTGTTGGTTGGCTGGTACAATTTTATGTCGTACAAGGGTCATGATGTTGGGTTTGACGAGGGCAGGTGAAACCAAATGACACAAACAGCAATTGGATGAAAAACAATGTCGTACTTACGTTACTACGTGCAATGCACGTTTTTTTGACATATGATTTTGGAGAGAAATTCTAGTTAAATTCAAATCTATGAAAATATACCTTTATTCAACTTAACAAAATTTACAAATCTACTCTTTTAATTTATACATTATTATCTATCTGATTATTAATTAACGAACGAATTAATCTCATATATTTCGTAACAATAAAAGAAGAACTCGCAAGGGGTAGAATTAAATTTACTAGACTTTTGAAATCTAAAAATATGGACAGGGTAAATTAAATTATAATAAATAGTCATCATGCCGTTGAAGATGAAGTAAATAGTTGAGTTATAGTTAATTAGTTAGTATCAAACATATGCATGCGTCAGGCAAATAAATTTATATATATATATATATATATATATATATATATAATGAAATCATAAAATACGATGATGAAATGACGAAAAGTAGATAACATTAAGTGACTGACTATCTTGATGCAAGCTATAACGATGAAGACATTAGCTGAAACGTAATATTTATAGTTGCTAGTAGATACATATTTCAAAATATCAATTATTTTAATGAAAATATTAATAATTAGAATAACGGTAGTGGTAATAATATTACGTTGGTTATTATTATTATTAGTTAGCGCTTATCTACGTATCTTTTAATGCTTGAAGTTACGTGCGGTAGTTGTTTCGCCTATTCATTTTTGTCGGCTGTACATTTGATTTGAAAGCTTTTTCAACTGCCACGTTCGGATGAAATGAAAATTTTGATTGTTTGGAAGAAGCAGGTGCATGGAGCATAAAACTTGGATGAAACGGCTGCGATGAATTTATTCCAAAAATCTTAATAAATAAAAAGTTAACATAGCGCAAAGCTAGCTAGCCACGTGTGATTATTGTCATTCTTCAAATAATAATGATTCAGTTATTCAGAATTACATACACCATTGGCTACAATGGTGGACCCCGACAACTTTAAGGGGGGGGGGAGGGCAAATTTTTGAAAATGCTGACAGGGGGCCTAATTTTCACAGGAGGACCAAAATTTTCACTGGAAAAAGGTCAAGGTTTGTGGTAATGTGGCTGACGACATTTTTCGGTCGATTTTATACTTAAAATTACTCATAACGGGGGGAGCAGTGTTCCCCGGCTTCCACCCTAGATCCGCCATTGCTTGGCTAAATTGGTACAACATGCTACTATGGCCTACTGAAATATAACAACTCGTTAACATTAAAGCATTGTACGTATGACATGAACGGTGCCTATAAAACGCTTGGAGAACAGTGAAAGTTAAAAGTCTAAACATCGTATCAAAATATAGCAGCATGCATATTTCGGGTAAATGTTATAGCATTAAACCTTTAGTAATGTTAACACTTTGTTTGATATGATAACCAACACGCAAACATGCACAACACACACACACAACACACAAATTTGTTTATTCTCATTTTAAAATGTGTTTATGGACTTTTCATTTTAAAAACAATTTATGAAA